TCCACATTTAAAATGCTTATTAAATGTTGTGTGAAAGAACTCAAATTTTCCCATGTTAAAAAAAATCAATGTAAATATGGTATAGAAATTATCGAACATAATGAAAGGAAACTTTCTGCAAATGTTAAAATGTCATCTATCAAATCTATGTATTGATGATATAAAATGTCTTAAATATATATTTTATTATAATCTTGTAGGCGATGAAATGAGAGAAAGTATGTTGACCCATTTAGTAATAGTAACTTCTATTATAGTAAGGAAATGTATAACTGTGTTCAACAAATAGATTCTACATGACTGTATTAATTCTTGGTGTTATAAAATTTTTACAATGTTATCTAAAGCTTGAGATAAATGATCTCTACATGTGATTTAGTTATTTGCTTATCACACATCTTTCCTGGTCCAATAAAACCAGAGCTCATACAGAACTTGCTTACTGTTGACTCCCCAGACATAAAAGACGGCACTAGAATAAGTGTTCAAAAATGATATTTTGATGAACAAATAAACTGGTGAATACATAAGTAAATTAAGTACATTGTGATGGTGAACCAATGAAAATGAAAGTCATCACAAAATCTATAGTGGCATGAATTTTCCTGTTCTGCTTTCAGGTTAAGATTACATGCTTATCCAAGAAGAAGCATTTCTTAGAGCAAAAGTGTGGCTATTCCACAATTCTAGGGGAAATATCACTATAATATAGACTTGATGAAGCTATTATCAGATGTGTGATCTGAAGACAAAGTAGAACATGAAAATCAGATAGCACCTATTACAGTACTTTTTAAAAAGCATAGGAAAGATTTTTGTATATTTGCATGTATTTTTATTGTGAATGATATATTTGTATTATGATATTTTCTAGCTGGTTATTGTATAAACAGAAATGACATTTGATTTTAGAAAATTCAATTAATTACCAAACATCTTACTACAGTGTTTATATGTAGTTTTATTTAGTATCCTTCCTAAATAAATATTTTAATTGCCGTATTGTAAACTTACAGAAAAGTGAATGAACTGTAATTATAGAACTGAATGAATATCTTAGCCTCAGGGGTCTAGAGCTAGAGACAATGTCTGATATTAAAGTAATGACATTTACTTGAAAGGTAAGTCCAGGGCAGCAATGGTGGGGACATGTGGAAATTGAGGCAAGAGCAAATGTAAAACAATGTGTGTTGATTATGTTATGACACTGCTAGTATCCGCTTCACAATGCATTGAGAGACACAGGGTGGTGGTCATCAGATACATGCACTTGGCTCCCAATACTTTTCCATAAGAGTTGCAAGGGGGAACTATAGCCAGCATTAGTCTATGGAAGAGAAAGAGTAGGGAGAATGTATCTGTTCAGCTGTCATCTGTCTTCCATTTCCCCTGGGCCAGGAATTTCTTAAGGCAGAACTACCATCTCTGCTGTTCTGCCTTCCATCATCCAGTCCCTGTGTTGTGGTTATGAAATTCAGACCTCATGCCTACTGTGGTGATCTGTTCAAGTCCAAAATGGAAGGATAATCTGGGTCAGGCAAAGTATTGGCCAGGGGAATGGTGGACAGTTCACTCCTTGTGCTACTCAGATGTGCTCATGCCCTCCAGTCATGGCTGGCATATGACATATAAGTGTATGACATGAGCAGTTGCACAAGGTCTTATGCTTAGAAGGGCTTGTACTTAGAGGGTCTCTATGCTTGCATTAATGTTCTGCACCTGCTGTTTTGTTTTAGAGACAGAGGGCACTCCTTTGCTGAAGAGGGAATGGTCTTACGTTAATTCTCTAGGAGTTTGCTCTCCCCTCTCCTGTGGGCTTGACGGAGATATGCACAGAGTCCTATAACGCCCACTGTGCATGCCTCTAGCAGCTCTGAATTCTGCTGGATCATCTGGCACAATGGGCAGAGCAGCTTGGGGCAGAGCCTGTATCTGCCGTAGAGCCGCCTTTTGTTCTGGGTTCCACCTGAGACCAGTAGCCCTCAGGGAAAGTGTTAGTAAGTCAGAGCAATATCCTCAAATGTGGCATATGTTGTCTCCCAAATCCAAATAGGCCCCCAAAACACTGTGCCTTTTCTTTAGTGATAGGAAATATATATAGGGCAATATATTATTTACTTCATTTATTTTATTTTTTTATTGCATTTTAGGTTTTGGGGTACATGTGAAGAACATGCAAGATTGCTGCATAGGTACACACATGACAGTATGATTTGCTGCCTCCCTCCCCGTCACCTATATCTTGGCATGTCTCCCCATGCTATCTCTCCCCAACTCCCCACCGACAGACCCCAGTGTGTAATGCTTCCTTCCCTGTGTCCATGTGTTCTCATTGTTCAACACCCACCTATGAGTGAGAACATGCAGTGTTTGATTTTCTGTTCTTGTGTCAGTTTGCTGAGAATGATGGACTGGACAGGGAAAATGTGGCACATATACACCATGGAATACTATGCAGCCATAAAAATGATGAGCTCGTGTCCTTTGTAGGGACATGGATGAACCTGGAAGCTATTTACTTTAAAAAGGATGCCTTGACATGTGGACCAGGACCACTGCACCCCTAAAAACATCATCTGTGTTTTAGATTCCTGAATCAGCTGAGGTTTATCTCTTCTTCTGGTATTTTATTTCTGTTCAATGTTATAGTATTTTACTGTATTTAAGGAACTTCCTACTTTTTGCTTATGGGTACTACTTAATGTAATATTATTAATATATTGAATGATGTTTTGCAAAATGTCAACTAAACTGAAAGTAGATGTGACATAGCCCTGACACAAAACAGTGAAGCAGTGGTATTATTCTTACTATATTTACCAGAAGGTATGCTCTGCTCAGTGAATATGCCGCACCCTGGAGAGCATTTGCAAGTGCAATTTAAGTGTATGGTAATCTGCAATTTGTGGTATAATTTATCTGGTATTTGCAGAGACCAGATGGGTTAGCTCAATAGGGATATGAATAGGACTGCCACCCCCGACCCCCGTAACTTTCAAGTTTGTTGTGGTGTCAGTGATCGATTCTATTTCTTGAAGAATGCAGTTATTATTTTTTCATCTTGGTCTTGCCAGGAGTGATGAGTTTCAGAGGCTTCCACTTGTTTCTCCTTACAATAATGCCTCTAAGTATACAGATCAGGAAACAATATGAGAGTTCTGTCAGCTGCTGAATCTATCCATTTCAATTACACATTCAGAGAGAGGTGATAATGACAAACTCATTAGGTTCACCTTGGGATGGTCATGAGCCAAAGCTCTAGGTAGCATCTGACCTTCAAAAACTCACTCTCCATCCCATGGACCAAGTGTCTTTTTAGGTACCCAGATATTAGTGTTAGTTCAGGCCCCATACCTAAAACTCTCAGATAGTATGGATGTTGTGTCCTTTCCTCTGGGTACTGTTATCTGGGTAATGGCTACAAGTGTTTGACTAAGCATCATATGAATACATCTTGGATATTCTTGTGGTGAATTCTCGGCATCCTTTCTCAATGGAACTTAAGCTTCCCTTCCAATTACCGAACTCTGGTTCTCTGAATTGGCTCAGTTCTGAGAACTGATCACTGGGTTTGTAGCTTTCTTCATGAAAATCTCTGTATTTCCCCAAACAGCTCAACTGAGCCTTATCCAGATACTGTATGCCTTATACACAGTAGGCTGAAGTCTTTTGTAGTTGGTGACAATTCAAAGGCTGACTTCAGGAATCAGCTTTCTAACTCTGCTTTTCTCTTGTTTTATAAGTATTTATAAAAGTATAAAGCCTCTTCAACTACTGGCTTATAAACCCATTCCAACATGGCTGTTGCTGTCAGCACTTCATTGAACCCAATGTTTGCAAGATCACCAGTGAGTCTGTGTTACCAATTATTAGTCTTCGTCTTGCATGCTCTATCAGCAGCATTGAACATAGCGGTTTGTACTTCTCTTTGTCTTCTTTCCCAACCTCTTCTTTGTTACCTGAACATAGCCAGGCCAGGGTGACCTTCCTGTCTCTATAAGGATAGTATGTTTGTACTTCTAGCCTTAGGGATTTTTCCTTAATATTTACCCGTGCTAGCTGAATTTGCCTCTTCAATGGTTTTGTTGACTAAATGTAAGGTAATTTTCAAGATATTTTAGTTTTATTTTATTTTATTTTTGCTCAGCATTGCTTCAGGGGACTGAAGGTGAGGGATCAGTTCTTCACAGCGAACCTTACATCTTTCTCTGTCATCTTTGAAGTTTATGATGCATATTTTTCTACTTTCTTTGGTAACTGTTGCTGAATTTGTTTCATTGGTGCTTTGCTCACTTTACTTACTTTTATAGCAATTGAAGAAGAATGACTGTGCCATGCTGCTTAGTTCCCCATCTTGGCTAGACAGTATGTCATCCTTTGTCTAGACTGGTGCCTGTAGTGAGGATCATGGAGCACACGTTGCTGGGAGAATGAATGCATGTGGAAAAAACGTCAAGGTATTTAGTGCTAGTGGACCAATGTGCCCTACTGGGCAGGGGAGAGGCACAGAATAAGGATTCTTGCTTTGTGGACAAACTCATTGAAACACAGTGGCTGCTTTATGAGATAACAAATAGATTTCCACCTCTTCTCACGTGTCCAGAAAAAATATTTCGGAAGTTTCCAAAATATTTACATTGAATACTCTTTAATATAAACTTGCAAGTCTTTTTAAATGTGTTTAAAACTATCACAGTACTAAACATGAACTAGATGCATAATAAATGTTGAAAATAAAAAGCCTGAATTATCAAAGTGAAAAGAGAAAAAGATTTGGATCCCAAATAAACATATGTGTTTGTGTATGTGTGTGTGTGTGTGCATGCATGCGTGTTTGGTGTGCATATACTTGTAAAAAGTAAAATAATAGAAAAGTACTATTTTAGGTACCCAGCATTCTAGGAATAATGTCTTCCACAAAATTATTAGAAAATTCTGCTACTTTTTGGGAGGAGCTTTGGATAAACCTTTACAGACCTAACCTTTAAAAAATGATTGGATTTTTCATTATTTTCTTTATTTTTATTGTAAATTGACATATTTTTGTTGCATATATTTATGGCGTATTAGGTGATGTTATGATTTATGAATATGTGGAATAATTAAATGAAACTAATTAACATTCAAATGATATATTAACAAATGATAGGTAACAAATACCTATCTTTTTTATGCTGAGAACATTTGAAATTTACTCTTTCAGCAATTTTTTAATGTACAATACAGTATTATTAACCAATTCACAATGCTGTTCAATAGATCTCAAAAAAGCAAAACAAATTTTATTCCTCTTGTCTGAGGCTCTGTACTCTTTAATAATCATCTTCCCATTTTTCCCCACCCAAGCTCGGAAGTATGTAAAAAATCTCAGTGCTTAGGATGTTCCATATACCAATTTTTGTAATGATACTTCTCTCTCCAAAGTATGTAGATAAGACCAAAAAAACCAAAACAATGAAAATAAATATATCTTTATTTGCATGTTAGCAAATGAGAATTCAGTGTTTCCTTTGTCACCAACTACAAAAGACTTCAGCCTACTGTGTATAAGGCACACAGCATCTGGATGAAGCTCAGTTGAGCTGTTTGGGGAAATACAGAGATTTTCATGAAGAAAGAAAGCTATAAACCCAGTGATTAGCAAATCTTGGTGGTTGCTGGTTTAACAATATATACACGAGTTTTTTTTTTTTAAAGGACTATATTATTGAATTTTCAAGAATCAGATATACATAGCATTTTAGATGAATGCATTAAGAAGTCTTCAGCAGTGATATTAGACATTGGAGTATTCTCTTACAGGCAATGAGTGGTGTCATAAAGAGCATATTAACATTCATTTTCATTGTGGAATTTATAATTGGAAATTTAGGAAATGGTTTCATAGCGCTGGTGAACTGTATCAATTGGGTCAAGAGAAGAAAGATCGCTTTAGCTGATCAGATTCTTACTGCTTTGGCAATCTCCAGAACTGGTCTGGTTTGGTTAATATTTGTAAGTTGGTATGTATCTGTGCTTCACCCAGCTTTATTTTTGACTGAAAAAATGTTAAGAATGTTTATTAATACCTGGGTGGTGACCAATCATTTTAGTGTCTGGTTTGCTGCAAGTCTCAGTACTTTTTATTTTTTCAAGATAGCCAATTTTTCTAACTCGATTTTTCTCTACCTGAAGTGGAAAGTTAAAAAGGCGGTTTTAGTGCTGCTTCTTGTGACTTTGGTTCTTTTGTTTTTAAATATTGCACTGATAAACGTCCATATAAATGCCAGGATCAATGAAGATAGTGGAAACAGAACTTGCAGTTCTGGTCCAAATAACTTTGCACAATTTTCCAGTCCTGTTTTATTAACCAGCACTGTGTTCTTTTTGATACCATTTACTTTGTCCCTGGCAAATTTTCTTCTGCTCACCTTCTCCTTGTGGAAACATGTCAAGAAGATGCACCACACTGTCAAAGGATCCGGAGACGCCAGCACCAAGGCCCACAGAAAAGTCATACAAATTGTGATCACTTCCCTCCTACTCTACGCCATTTTCTCTGTGTCTTTTTTCCTACCACTTTGGATCTCTGAATTGTTGGAGGAAAATCTAATTTTTATTTTTTGCCAAGTATTGACAATGTCTTATCCTTCAGGTCAGTCATGTGTCCTGATTCTTGGAAACAAGAAGCTGAGACAGGCCTTTCTGTCAGTGCCGCGGTGGCTGACGTGCAGGTTCAAAGACGGGGAGCCCTCAGGCCATAGAGAATTTAGGGAATCATCTTGAATATATTAGAAAAATATAGTTCCTAAGAAATTCTTGTACATTATGTCAATTTATACTTCCTCAAGTTTCTTTCTTTTTATATAACTTTGTGAATTTTACAAAGGTATGTTTGGAATTAACACCATTCAAACTATCACAAATTACAATATAAGAAAGTATGTATATTTACCATACACAGAAGAATGTGAATGCCATAAAGAGTTCTAATAAAAACAGATAATACAAATTTTGTATCAATCATTAACCTTTTTTGAGATTTTTAAATGAGAAACCTATAATGTATATGTGTATTGTATGGGTGTGACACAGTTACTGAAAATAGGCTGCTTAAAACTACATCTCAATCTGGTAGATAAAGCACATAAAATAATATGAAATTTTAGTACCATATTAAATTTACTCAATTTTTGTATAATATTTAGTACCTGATTAATGTGTATACAAAAAAGTAATTGGCTTTGTTTGTTGAATTAGAAGCCAGCTGTTTTACTAAACTATCATGTGCTTTGTTCATTCTGTCTTTGCAGATAGAAAATTTTATCATCTGCATGTAGTGATTTATAATGATTATTTTAGTTCTTCATTTTAGTACTTAGAATTCTTTTTTTTTTTTTGGTATCTGTTTGTATAATGAAATGGTTTGAACATTCAAAGTGTCAAGTAATTGAAGCGGTAACTGCTATCTTTGCAAATGGAGTGTTTTTTAGTGTTTTAACAATTAACATTATACTGACTTTAGCTTTGAGATAAATTCTTTTAAAAATAATCTTCAGAGAGAATCTTTGTCTTCTTATTTTTCACTTTGTGGTATTATAATAAAATCTCCGTTAAATATATCAAATTTTTTTGCTGTTTATTAAGATGATCATATTTTCCCTCTCCTCTGGCCAATTAAAATACAATATTTGTTAATGGTGTACATAAAACAGTGATATGTCTTCCAGTTTATGCATTCTATATTGAATAAAATACAATATACATATTCGTACACATATATACACACAGACAGAGAGAGACAGAGACAGACAGGAATAAAATTGCAACCTTAGAGGCAAATTGGAATTCAGAAAGTAACTGCAAGATAATGAGAGGTAATCTCCAAAAGGAGAAAATAATCCCAATTTGAATAACATAAAAATCTTATCAAAAAATTCTATACCAGAAGACAATTGATTCATTTTACATGGGCTAAGGCATGTAACTATACAGTGAATTCTTTGCTAAAAATTTATTCTGGAGTTTGAATTAAATAATATCATTCCCTGCTCCTCTTAAAAAAAGACGAGGGCTATTTACTAAACAGGAAGACTGTTATGGACTAACTTGTTTGTCTCCAAAATTCATGTGTTGAAGCCCATACTCTAGATGTGACTGTATTTGGAAATAAGGCCTTCAAGTAGGTATTTAAGTTTAAATTAGGTCATACAGTGAGGCCCTAATGCAACATGACTAGTGTCTTTATAAGAAGAGAAAGAAACGGGCATCTGTGGGCACAGAGAAAAGACAGTGTTGTATGATTCCATTTATATACCATTCTAGAATTTGGAAATATAGTGACAGAAAGCAGATCCATGGTTGCCTGGGAACTGGGGGTTTGATAAAGACTGGGCAGCTGTAAGCAGGAGGAATAACACAGGATCGTAAAGGAAACTTTTGGGGGTAATATATATGTTTGTTACCTGATTATGGTGATGATGGCTTCACATGTGATGAGCATGAAATTGTGCACTTTATATATGTACAACCTATTGCATGTCAAGTATACCTCAAGTGACGTATCACAAGCAGTTCAGGAGGAAAAACTGCAGACAAATATGAATTCTTAGAAACCTTCTCTTTGCAACTTTAGAAGAATCAAATCTCATTATTTCCTATTCTTATTTTTTGATCTTAGCCCGGGCCTTATGTTTACTGGAATGAAATATTTAGGAATTCTTGTTGTCTTATCTACCTTACTGGCTTGTCTTCCCCAATAGTAAGTTTTTAAGGGCAGAATGCTGCAGGGGTGTGTGTATTCGTGTGCACGTGCGTGCATGTGTGTGTGTGTATGTGTGTGTATGTGTGTGTGGTGGGGGATAGGAAAGTAATAACAGAGAGAGCTCCTCTGAAGTGAGTTCTGCCTTTCCTGGGGCCTAGGTTCAGTTTCCTCATCATGAAAGTTCAGTTTTTGAGCCTACTCTATTACCCCATTTACATTATTGTGGGGGTTGGTGTATTCCTCAAATTCAGCTCAATATCCAAGCCTGTAATGCCCATCCTGCCTCTGCCTGGGTCATGTGCTGGGGCTCCTATCCTTCAAGTTTCCTATCCTTAAAATTTCTTATTTTTGCCTCCTTAACTTCTCAATCTGGATCCCTCCAAATTCGAGGATAATATTGACAATTCTATAGGGCTTTGCTAATGTATTGCTTCTCTATTGCTTTAAAAATTTTCTTTGAGAAATAAGAATATATTACAGTTTAAGTCCACCATGTTGTTTAGGAAACCTGTGCTTGCTTACTTTGGAGTAACAGCCATAGAGCAGACGTCGTTCAGCAGAGGTGTAGAGAAGCTGAATAAAACCCAAAGGCCTTTGATAACTATGGGAAAGTGGGTAACACCGAGTAGTGAAGAAGCACAAAATTAGGACTATTCATGCTGCGCCGATGGCCATCTGCATTCTCAGTATTGTCCATATTTGGCTTTAACTAAGAGACTGCTTTGTGGAATTAATATAGAGTTCTATCAGTTTTCATAAGCCCTATAAATGGTTCTCAAAGTTTCAGGGATATTTTCAGTTATGTATTAGAGAATATCAAGAATAATTATGTTTTAAGAATATTTTGATATCTAATTTTTTAAATGACAGGAGAAGCTTAATAAATATAAATGAAGGAAGAAATAATTAATCCTTAGAAAATCAGTGGTTTTGAATCCATATGATTTCTTGAGCTCTTGCAGTCACTTCTGGGCAATAATCCCACGAGTTTGTTCTGCAAGTTATGTGTTTATAGGCACTTGCAAACAACTCATTGATAAATAAATGTAAATTATCAGCACTCAGCATTTAGGGGTTATAGCTTCTCTGGATTCACTTAGGAAACTTGAATGCTTTGAATTACAAGATCTTTGGATAAACTATGAAAATATCCCTTCAGACTCCCCTCAGCATTCCTCAGTGGAGATGATTTTAGTGCCCATCACACTCCATCTACTAATTTAGATATTTATTATATGTTAAAGTTCTATGCACTGCATTTTAATATCATTGATAACAATTAAAATTAATGAGCAAATTGTGTAGAGATTAGATAAAGCAAATGTGCAAAATGATGACAGAGAATTGTTATTTGCCTATTAACAAATGAAAATTCAGTTTTTTCTTTCATTATCAACTGTGAGAAATTTCACTTTACATACAATATCTGGATCAGAGTGCAGCTAGCTGGCTGGGGCAAAATAATCTTTCTGTGAAAAAAGCTATGTGGCCATTCATTAGTACACCTTTATACTTTCTGCTTTCATATTGAGCCTATGGTTTTTTTTTTTTTTAAAGGAAGAAATTAACTGTACATCACAAAATAAGTATGTATGCCATGGACATGTGGTAGATCAAGGAATTGTCAGCATTGCAGTTAGGCATTGGAGCTCTTTCTTTGCAGCCATGCTAAATGGCTTACATAGTCTCTTCACTATAATAATAAATAGAGAATTCCTAATTGGAACTTTAGAGAATAGATTCATTATACTGGTGAACTGCATTGAGTGGCTCAATGTGCAGAAGGGCTCTTCGAATCCTCACTGCTTTGGCTATCTTCACAATTTGTCTGATTTTGGTAATAATGGCGAGAAGGTTTATATAGAAGAGCTGTAGTTATCTTTACAGATGAGTACAAAGAACGTTATATTTGCTATTACTGGAACTGTGGCCAATCGTTTTAGCATCTGGCTTGCCAGAAGCCTCACCCTCTTTTATTTTCTCAAGATAGTCAATTTTTCAAATCCTGCGTTTCTTCACTTGAAGCATAGAGTTGAAATTGTAATTCTGGTCCTATTGTTAGGTCTATTAGTCTCGTTCCATTTTAATCTTACCATGGCAAGCATGTTTCTTAATATCTGGGTACATCCATGCGAAAGAAATATCACTGCAAATTCTGAAAGGAGTGACATTGTAAACTTCATAAAACTGATTATATTTACCTTCATACTCTTTTCTCTATCCTTAAATGTTTTTCTCTTGTTAATCTCCCTATGGAAATATCTAAAAAATCTGAAGCTCAATGCAATGGAATTCAGAGATCCTAGAGTCAAGGCCAATATTCTTATATTGTGATGATATCCGTGATGTTTTCCTCTTATTATTTGCTATTTACTTTCTGTCTCTTCTTGTAGCGATTTTCCACTCTTGAGGTGATGCACAACAAACGGGCTCTTATGCTTAGCCAGCCTATTGCAAATGCTTATCCTGGTTCTGGGACACAGTAGGCTACAAAAGGTAGCTCTCTTTCGGTGCTTTGGTTGAAAGCTGGGAAACCCTCACATTCATAGACCATTCTGGTGACTATCTCATGCAATCTAAAAAAGAAATGTTAAAAAAAATTCTTGTGTGGCATTTTGTCCTTCTTTTGGGATTCTTCTACCATGTGTGATATTGAATGATTTTTAAATATTTATCATAAAAATGCTCTTATCTACAGCTATTAAATGTTAGTTGCATGCATATGTTTAAAATTTTTATACAAATGACAAAAATATTACATAGATTAATCCTGCTTTTGTAGCCTGATGTAAAAGAAAGCCTGGACACAGAGTAGTTCAATAAATTTTTAATCAACTAACAATTGAATAAATGATTGAATTAACTCTATACAGGAGGACAGCAAGAGCAAACTTACTTCACTGAAACATGAAGCTTGCATGTCACAGATACTTTCTAGACCTGGCTTATGTATTTGTATGTATACTTTCTGAGTTCAAGAATTTCCAGCAGCCAGAGCTGCAAACTCCTGTGGTGAAGCTAATATGCCACTAGGGGGAACACATCACTTGGAAAGAAGCCGTTCTTATAATCGGAAGTGGAAATAAATTAGAATAAAACAATCAGATGGTTGCTATCACAATGGCATTAAAAATTTGAAGGCTACACCTTTGGTTCCTTTGTGAGTGACCACTTACTTAAAATATTTACTAGCTGGATATTGTGTAATCACAAATAATTTTAAAAAATTGAATTAATCAGTTATTTATAAATTTTAATATTGCATTAAATTTTATATTAATTACAATGGATTTCCTTCCTTTCCCTTTTTACTTCAGGGGATTCTTTTGTTGTTTTTTGGATAGTAAAACATATCTGCTTGTGGTGATAATTTTACTCCTTCTATTTGAATATGTAGATCGTTTTTTATGTACTTGTTTGTCTAATGCTAAATAAGACACTTTCTAATTACCCACATTGATAAGCTTTTCCTCTGTACCTTTTTATTAGATAATTTTTCAGTGCGTTGCGGATACACATAAGGTTAGCAGTTACTTTGAGGTACATCATTTTAATCATGGTCAGAAGGCTACTTGAACTATTTTACAAGAATTGCTTTTTAAAAAGTATATTAAATATTATCAAAGACAACGTTGGCATCTTTCAAGATGGTTGTATATATTTTTTTCCTCTGCTGACTCCATTATCCAAAACAAATAATTAACATTCCTTAACATTCCTAGAATCAAGTCTGCTTGGTCATTTAACTAATATATCACTTCAATTTGTTTGAAATGATTTAGTTTTTAAAGTGAGATTTATAGTTATTACCTTTGTTAGAGTTGTCATATCAAAATTATTTTTTTCTTTCAAGACTTTTGGATATTTCTCTTCCTTTCAATATTTTGCATAAATCATCATATTAAAGGACTGCCTGTTAGTTGAGGAATCTCCCATGAAGGTACTTTTGGGAGGAGTGAATTCTCTGTTAAATTTCACAATATTTTACTTAGATATTAAGTACTGTAACATGTTTAATATGTTTTTAAGGTCATTTTATATATAAGTCACTCTGTGTTGTATATCTGTAAAAACTGTGTTCAGTTTTTCATGTTTGCTTTTCAGAATGTAGAAAAAAATCATTTTTAAAACACTTGTTTAGGCTTTACCTGATTACTCTGAAGATTATTTTCATAGATGTCTGTGAATTTCACTGGACTTTCAAGAAGTTATTACTATTAGTACAAAACTTATGAATCATTTCTTATTTATTTAATATTTTTAATTTTCATTAATTCTTATTTCTGCTCCCCCAAATACATTTTATCTCTCTTTTTAAATTATTTGAGCTTATTGCTTACTTAATTTATTTTCAATACTCCCTGTTTCATTATAAAACCATCAATTTCTAAAATATTTTCTGACTGTTTTATAGAAGACAGAGAAGGAAAGAAACAGTGGAACTCCTTCTCCAGGAAGATGACTTAATTAGGACAAGGAGGAGAGAAGCTTGCTGGAAACATCAAGGAGAAGGGGTCCTGGATGTTCATACAACACTCACATGGATCTGAGATTCCAGACTCCCAAACACTCAGAAAGGGACACCGCAATCAGAAATTGCAAGCTGATTATTTTATTGGTATATTGAAGCTAGAGCATGACCACATTATATTTCATGGCATTTGAAACACTGTTATCTTCTTATTCACTTCCTGAAAAAGAAAAACAAGGAAGATTATAGACAAGACCTGACGTGGCAGGAAATGCCTAATCTCTCACCGGTGTCACTGCAGTGAGGGAGATGCCAGCCCATTCTCTTGCCCTCTATCCCTTGTACAGTGCCCCCTCTCCTTAGTAATATTTTCTTTGTTCACACTTTTTATACCATTGCACGTAAAGTGCTTTAAACTATTGCTTCAATAAGGAAGAGAAATGATTATTGTTAGGCTGTTCGTGCCTTGTGGCTGTTGCATATGTTAAGGGTTAGTTTTTACAAAGATGGGCACGGCAACATATCCTGTAATAGCGAGAATGTGAAACCAACCTCAGTGTCCAGTGACACGGATTGGTTAAATAAATTATGGAACAACCAAACAATAGCATAGTATACAATTGTAAAGCCAAACTAACTGATAAACACTGAAGAGATCTAAATGAGCTCATGTGGAAGTTTTCTAAGAAATAAATTTTTCTAATGAGTAAGACAAAGATCTGAATATAAAGTCTGGTATCAGTGGTGGGAAAAAAAAAGGCATTACATGTATTTATGTAGCAATAAATATTTCAAAAAGAAGAATCCACAGAGTAAAAAATGTTCTGTTCAGCGAGATTAGTTTTTGTTAGCTTAAGCATGCATGGCTTTAAATGTATTTTAAAAAATGAGATACCACTTAAAAGCTGAAAGTCCAAGGACCATTTAGCAGCCATATTGGACTTGAAAGGCTGGTGTCAGGCAGGACTGAGCAAGGAGCGTTCAGGCAGGAACTTTAAATAAATGGGAGGTCTTTGAGTTTAAGGAAAGAAGACAGAGTGCCAGAGGTAGAACATGGTTCTAAGTCCTCATTGTCAACCATTCATAGGAGAGGTAATTTGAAGACAGTGATTCTCAAAATCAGAACTGCCTTCAAGCGATTGTTTAAAAATAAGGTCTTGCTTCCCTACCCCAGACTATCTGAACAAAAATCTTTAGAAATGTGTTCCTGGACAAGGCAATATTAACAGGCTTTCAGTGGATTCATTGACACAATGAAGCTGGGGAACTGTAGTAGTTGGGGCCTTTGATGGAGTTTAAACTGGAATCATACCTGTCATTGAATCCTAGATTACTGGGGAGGCTGCCCCTGTTGTGGGGGTGGTCCTTGTGGCTGTCCTGGAGGAGGTGGTGGACCATGGTGGTGGTGGTGGCCTCCCTGTGGCTGTGGTCCTTGTGGCTGTCCTGGAGGAGGTGGTGGACCGTGGTGGTG